ATAATTGTCAAATATTCCCGTGCACTTGAGACTAAATTTTGTAATTTAATATTTCTAAATAAGTAATTCCACATTTTATAGAGTAATTTTTTGTATCTAATTTCATCGAAATAAATCAACAAATATCTCAAAAGTACATATAGTTGCGTTAGTTCTCAGCAGATAAATCAGACTGGAAGAAATACCATGGACACACGCATATGTCAGCACAGATTGTAGTGTACAGCTTGACGAATCGAAGACCATTCCTGCGCACACGACAGTCTCATGGAAGTACGCTGAGAAAAGCGTTGCGACTTTGCCTATTTCTGAACAACAAGCCTTTTGTAGAAACTACGATATTTCTTTCAGGATGCATAGCCTGTAAGTGTAGTCGAAGTAAAATCGTATGTATAATCACAGTTATATAATCTGTTAGGCACGCATTAAGTAAATACAAATTGGTTAGAACGATCAAGGAAAGGCAAAAGGAAGGTTGTCACAATCAACCAATCACAAATCCCTTTCATATAGGTAGGAGGCAACGCAATTTTCCGTTTCGTAAACCGCTAGGATCACCAGTAACAATCAGTGTCACCACTTTCAGTGTGCGTCACATCCGGCGAATATGTAATGAGATACTCATATATATATATATATATATATATATATATATATATATATATATATATATATATATATATATATATATATATATATATATATATATATATATATATATATATATACGGTATATACAAGAGGCAGAGAAATTTAAGTTTTTAAGTTTTTGGCCCTCAAAGCATTGGTGGGTAATACCCATCAATGCTTTGCGGGCACACTGGATAATATCGCAAAACATTGGGGGGTATTGAAGTTCCCACACGTAATATAAGGTCAAACAGTAACACAAGATTAAAAACTCCGTCTATCAAGATTCTATCAAGTATCAACTATACGCATTAATCAAAACAGGAACCAAAAGACTTGGTTCACACATCAGTCAGTCAAAAGCAAATACAAATATAAAAAATCGAGCAAAGCTTAACACACAACGGTCACATTATAAAACGTTTGTAACAAGGGACTCATAGTTATTGTTCCATTAGGCTATATTGAAAAGCGCCATTCCTTCAGCCGGATAGACGCACAAGGATCAAGTTACACGCTGGTTACTGCTTCACTAAAGCCGGTTTTCCACTTGCGAATTTTTTCGCGCGAAGCGAATTTTTCATTTGTCTGTGGTATCTCAACTGGAACCATCTGGAACTAATTGGATAAAGACAAAAGAAAAATTCGCAAGTGGAAAACCGGCTTTAGTAATAACATTTAATTTGTTGTATTAATATTTGTATATTAATTACCATAAGGCATGATCATTTTTAATAACAGCTAGTTAGTACACCATAATCAGCCGGGGGCAGTTATTTCTAGTGTATTGAGTATCATTTGCTCGGTTTCTTTTTAACTTTCGTCTTAAATTATCGATCATTGTTAACATCTTGAAATTCTGAAAAACATTCATCTAAACTATTGGCTGATAGGTCCAACGTAGTGGCACGTAGCTTGAACTGTTATGATTGTCTGGATCGCCTGTAGCAGGAATGGCGTCGAACTCACGCGTATAGGTGCACTTGACCTGTAGAATCGACTGCTGGCATTCCCAGAGTCATACGATACAAACGTCGCATTGTTTTGACGTTTTGAAGTTGTATTTCCGATAGGGATTAGCTCATCTCGAGCTCACAGTCGAACCAGAAATGGAAATTCTTGACTTCCAATCAATCCCTTGAGAATTAGAAGACAATGGAACGGCGGCCACGTTGGTGCCAAATTCAAAAGAAGTTAGTGAGATTCTTTTGTTGAAAAGGGACAACATGGCCGTCGCCCACATCATTGCAAGTCAAGAATATCGTGATAAAATTAAGATGCAAATTTGAAGATAAAGGCTTGAAAATAACATTCTAAATAGTGTTTTTGATAGCGATATTTTTGGGTTTTTTCTATATTTTTGTTCAAACAATTGCGTAATTTGCCTTCAAAGGCCATAAATCGCTACAGTGTTGATAGATGACTATAACTATCGTGTAGAATTAGTTGATATTGTTTCACTGTATCGAATGGTGGCATTTCTGTCTTAATAGCACGCACTGAACCGAAGATCTGAACATACAAACATGTCATCCTCTAGAGGATGACGAGATTGGCGCCTGTCCAGAAAGAGATCTCGTGATAGTGTTGGGCGATATTCCGCTATTATCGCGATATTTTTACTCATGATCATCGGTCAATGACTAGTGCGATATTGTTTCTTATGTGCACATAGCTTTTTTTGGCTTTTAAAGTTGTAGACCATAATTACGACATGGTTTTTAAGTATAGCCTACAACTCTACTTCGTGACTTCATGTTGTTTGCGACGTGGTAAAACGTATAATTGGGACTCACGTTTAAGCGTGCGTTTTGCGCATGCGTGCTGAATAGCTCATTTCATATTCACCGGCTGTAACGCACAACTGAAAAGTGGTGACACCGATTGTTATCGGTGACCCTGACGGTTTGCGGAACGGAAAATTGCGGGGGCGACCTGCAAGGGTAGCTTGATCTCGCGTTGACATGTTGCTTTTATTATGTTGCCAAGAACAACTGTTACCATCTAAACATCGTTCAGAGCCGTTGATAGACCGATAATTGGGGGTTGATATTCATATATCCGTATTCTGCCCGACGAATTTCTTTTGAAAGCGATTGTTTTTTACGGTATGTGAACATGAATATATGAATAAACATCACTCCCCCCCCCCCATTATCGCGTCTAGCTACGTCTCCGACACCGTCTAATAACAAATGCTAGAAAATCAATGACCCTCAGGATACTGTATACGATTGGACAATCTCATCAAGTCCATGAAATAGGGCACCAGAAATATTTCAGATGCCTTTACAAATACATGTGTGCCACCAGAATGTCGATTTTAAGGACACACCAGAGGAGTTTGCTCAGACGAAGCAGGAACTTAACAGTTTCTACCAGTACTTGACACCTAACAACCAGCTAACATACATACATACATTCATAAAAATTTATTTAAGCACGTTAGCTAGGCCTAACATCTTTCGATGATTTCCGTAGGGGACGCGTAGACTAATACATATACAGCGTACAAACTATTTACATAATTATTCTTTAGACAATTAGCAAGCATAAATAAATAACAAACATACAAACTATTTACATAATTATTGCTTTCGAAAATATACCTTCATTAGTCTTTTGAAACAACTCATAGAATTGGATTGTTTTGCAGTAATTGATAAATTATTCCGAAGAATTGCTCCGCTATAACTGCAGGTCTTTTTCTTAAATTCTGATTTTGAAAATGGAAGAACCAGATCTGTTTGAGAATTTCTTAATTGATGTATAGTTGGACAATCACTTATTTTCAAAAAAATTCTTTCAGTTTTGGAGCAGTTTCGTTATTTAAGATTTTGTAAATAAAAATGGATTTCAAGTATTTTCGTATGTTGTCAAGAGTTTGCCACCCCAAAGTTGCAAGAACATCGGCCAACCTAATATCATAAGATGCTCCTGTTATTACTCTAGCAGCTCGAGATTGACATTTTTGTAGTTTTTCCTTTAAGACGATTCCACAGTTATCTCACAATTGACAGCAGTAGTCAAAATAGGGCTGTATTAAAGCTAATTCAGCCTCGCCTTACGTACAATAACAAATGAAAGCACTCAACGTAACTGTTGCACTATTTAATAACTATAAAATCGAATCATCCTCTTACTAGTAAGTATCTGACCAATCAAAACATTGTCATGGGAACTCGTTCTTCGATGGCGCCGTCCTCATTGTATGTCATGTAGGATTCTTGCAGGGAGTGCGAGTAATGACGTTTCTGGATCTAATAAATTAGAATTAGAAAACAGTTTAATTGAGGAAAAAAGCACAAACCATAAAAATTCACAAAATCTATAAAATCGGGGGTTAACCGAGCAGGGTCTGAAAAAAATTTGCTAAGCCAAGGCTTTTCCGTGTTTGGTGAGAGGAGCTTTGATGAAAGTTGTTAAATTTTTGCATCCAAAGCAAGAATTTGTAATGCACTTTGAACTTCCTGCTGGCGGCCATTTTTCGCGGCGAATAGACGAGATGATCTGGAAAGTTTTTACAATCCATCAAATATTTAAACCATCCTTTCATAATCCTTGCTCTTCTTGTCTGATTTTTATCAGAAATACTAGAAATGTACCAAAAAAGGTATTTTTATCTCTATTTGTTGCATGTGAGTAAAATGTAAACAATAATTAACACATGTCTGCGCCCGTTGCTAGTAGCATTTCCAGTTACTACTATTATAGGGATGTTCGCATTTATAACTATAGTCATGGAGGCAACGGGGCCGAGCGCCTTTTGGAGCGTAAGTCCAGGGCGAGGTTACTAATTCCGCCCGGCTATTTACCCACGGGGAAAGGAAAGCATTAGCGAAGTCTAAAATTCATCAATAATTGCGGGCGTGGGTTACATTGTGTGGTTGGTCATCCTCACTGATCTCAAAATATAGCAGACTGTCATGAATAGCGAACATTGATTGGTCCAATTTAAAATTTGATTTTGTATTATGAAGACTGCATGCATGGCGACAGCGAAATAGCAAACGTTAAACATTTCTTGATTTCTTGCAAATATATTTCATTTCTGCAAGATTTTGTAAATGTCAAAAGCTTTTTGATAAAAAAGGCGAAAGAATTGTTAAAAGAAAGGAGCAAACGCCGACGTTAATGAAGGTAAGTTTGTTTTAAATATTGATCTGTTGTTTGCTTTATAATTGCTTCAAAAGCTAATCGTTGCGTGTATTAATGAAAAAGACTGCATGATAACTACTTCAAATACTTCATGTTCGGAAAATATCATGGTTTTATCAGCAAGGCGAGGGTTTCTGAATGGGCGTACGTGTTAAACCACTTGGTCTATAGAGCGAAGACTCCAAAGGAATATATTCGAACGTTAAAAATTGTTAAGTTGTTTTACTTACACATTGGGTTATGACCATCACAAGCAGAATAAAACAGAATACAGCAAGTATTGAGATAACTATAATCGGCATGCGACCCCATGTTTCTTTGTTATCGTCGTCATCCCTGCCTTGCACGTCAGGATTTTTCTCTTCAACATCAATGTTACCCACAACATATTTCCCGAATCCTCCTTTAGTACTCTTTGCCTGTTTTAAAGTATTACTGATTCTATCAATTGACACTGGTTTGGATTCAACTGATTCAGTGTGTATGACGACATCACAACCAAGACTTCCACTAAAGAACCTTAAAACGTCAGTGCATAAATATTCCTCCATGTCTTTGAACACTTGGTCGAATTGTTCTTTTATTTCTCTGCTTTTCTGCATAAATTCTCTGGCACTTGTTATGTATTCATTTCTAAACGTTTCTGATGTTATTTTAATAGTGACAGAAAACTGTTGTACCTTTAGCTTTGTCGGTGAGGATGTTGGTCTGGTAGAGACATGAGTGCTGTACTGAATTATCGTGGACGGTTGAATCATGCGAAATGTCGTAACATTTTTCGCAATGTGCGTTTCGTTGCTGGAAATTTTACTAAATTGACCCGACATAAGGATGTGGCTTGCCATAGTTGTGCGGTTTGCAATAGCAGTCACGTCAGAAGATACATACCGTTCTAATAACGATATGTATGGCACCAGAGTAGGAATCAAAGTTTTGTTTAAGGAATCCAACTTTTCAACAGGGCTTGACGTGATGAAATTCTCTAGATTAGTTGTTTTATCAGGTCTTTTTTCTTTCGTTGAATTCATTTTCGATGTATAGTTGTTTGCAAGCAATCCACTTTTTGATGTGCTATGTTGAACCGTTGTATCGTTTCTTGTAGGGTTGATTCTACCTTTTGATATTTTACTGTATAACATTTCAGTCATGTTAACGGCAGGTGATGTAAATACTACCTTGATTTCACTCCTTTTCTGTTTTGACACCAAAGATGGACTAGGTTCCAAAACTGCTGTCTTGTTCGCTTGCTTTATTTCTGACGTTGAAATTCCTTTTGTTGAATTAGCTTTCATGTGTGCTTTCTCAGAGATATTTCTGGAATAGCTTGCACTTACTTCAGTTTTGGGGAATGATTTGGTAGCTCTGATAAAGGGGATGGAAGTATTTTTTTCTTTTGTTACAACGACAATAGCCCGGTTTGATTTGGATTCCGGGGGAGCAGTCGAGGCGGTAATATTGATCATTTGGCTCTTTCCTGAATTTGGATGCATTGATTTCACAGAAGTCGTAGTAAGCATCATTATTTTGGAATTTTCCCAAGGCATAGAGACTGTAAAACTTGTCTCTTCAGTATCTGAGGTATTTGCTTTACCATGCAGGCCCAACGTAATTGAAGATTGTTCGTGGTTTGAAGATGCTAGGGTGATTAATATCGTAGATTGACGAGGTGTATTCGAACTGACAGTCAGGTGCTTTGGTTGGATCGAGGAACCCATTGCCATGGATACGGAGTGCGTTTGAGAAAAAATTACTCGACGTGTAGCATCCTCATTTCTCTCCTTCGAATGAATTAGGATGGGGGAGGTTTCTTGTTTACTAGTCGTTGAAGCTTGTACGGCCATAATTGAGACAACTGTTTTCTTGGAATCATTGAACGCTTTCATCAGGAGGCTCGATTCAATACGATAAACGGACGAGGATGCCAGTTTAGCACTTGATGATATGCGGGTTGGTATTTCTCCTCTTATTGTAGACGCTTCAGGAATTGCTTTACTGGCATAAAATAAGGCAGAAGAATTTACTATAATATCCTTAGTATCTGTCGAAATTATTGAATAGCCATTGGTTAACAATGTATTGATAGAAATAGATATATTTTTCATTTTCAATGGTTGTGTGGGGCTTGGTTTCTGAATGAACTGATGATTGAAGTGGAACATTCGAAGGAGGTTCGGTTGTAACAGTCGATAAAACGTTAGCTAAGGCTGTTATCGGCATGCGACCCCATGTTTCTTTGTTATCGTCGTCATCCCTGCCTTTCACGTCAGGACTTTTCTCTTCAACATCAATGTTACCCACAACATATTTCCCGAATCCTCACTTAGTACTCTTTGCCTGTTGTAAAGTATTACTGATTCTATCAATTGACACTGGTTTGGATTCAACTGATTCAGTGTGTATGACGACATCACAACCCAGACTGCCATTGAAAAACCTTAAAACTTCAGTAAATAAATATTCCTCCATGTCTTTGAACACTCGATCAAATTGTTCTGCTATTTCATTTCTTTTCTGCCTAAATGCTCTGGCACTTGTTATGTATTCATTTCTAAATGTTTCTGATGTTATTTTAATAGTAACACGAAACTGTTGTACCTTAAACTTTGTCGGTGAGGATGTTGGTCTGGTAGAGACATGAGTGCTGTACTGAATTATCGTGGACGGTTGAATCATGCGAAATGTCGTAACATTTTTCGCAATGTGCGTTTGGTTGCTGGAAATTTTACTAAATTGACCCGACATAAGGATGTGGCTTGCCATAGTTGTGCGGTTTGCAGTAGCAGTCATGTCAGAAGATACATACCGTTCTAATAACGATATGTATGGCACCGGAGTAGGAATCAAAGTTTTGTTTAAGGAATCCAACTTTTCAACAGGGCTTGACGTGATGAAATTCTCTAGATTAGTTGTTTTATCAGGTCTTTTTTCTTTCGTTGAATTCATTTTCGATGTATAGTTGTTTGCAAGCAATCCACTTTTTGATGTGCTATGTTGAACCGTTGTATCGTTTCTTGTAGGGTTGATTCTACCTTTTGATATTTTACTGTATAACATTTCAGTCATGTTAACGGCAGGTGATGTAAATACTACCTTGATTTCACTCCTTTTCTGTTTTGACACCAAAGATGGACTAGGTTCCAAAACTGCTGTCTTGTTCGCTTGCTTTATTTCTGACGTTGAAATTCCTTTTGTTGAATTAGCTTTCATGTGTGCTTTCTCAGAGATATTTCTGGAATAGCTTGCACTTACTTCAGTTTTGGGGAATGATTTGGTAGCTCTGATAAAGGGGATGGAAGTATTTTTTTCTTTTGTTACAACGACAATAGCCCGGTTTGATTTGGATTCCGGGGGAGCAGTCGAGGCGGTAATATTGATCATTTGGCTCTTTCCTGAATTTGGATGCATTGACTTCACAGAAGTCGTAGTAAGCATCATTATTTTGGAATTTTCCCAAGGCATAGAGACTGTAAAACTTTTCTCTTCAGTGTCTGAGGTATTTGCTTTACCATGCAGGCCCAACGTAATTGAAGATTGTTCGTGGTTTGAAGATGCTAGGGTGATTAATATCGTAGATTGACGAGGTGTATTCGAACTGACAGTCAGGTGCTTTGGTTGGATCGAGGAACCCATTGCCATGGATACGGAGTGCGTTTGAGAAAAAATTACTCGACGTGTAGCATCCTCATTTCTCTCCTTCGAATGAATTAGGATGGGGGAGGTTTCTTGTTTACTAGTCGTTGAAGCTTGTACGGCCATAATTGAGACAACTGTTTTCTTGGAATCATTGAACGCTTTCATCAGGAGGCTCGATTCAATACGATAAACGGACGAGGATGCCAGTTTAGCACTTGATGATATGCGGGTTGGTATTTCTCCTCTTATTGTAGACGCTTCAGGAATTGCTTTACTGGCATAAAATAAGGCAGAAGAATTTACTATAATATCCTTAGTATCTGTCGAAATTATTGAATAGCCATTGGTTAACAATGTATTGATAGAAGTAGATATATTTTTCATTTTCAATGGTTGAGTGTTGGGCTTGGTTTCTGAATGAACTGATGATTGAAGTGGAACATTCGAAGGAGGTTCAGTTGTAACAGTCGATAAAACGTTAGCTAAGGCTGTTATCGGCATGCGACCCCATGTTTCTTTGTTATCGTCGTCATCCCTGCCTTGCACGTCAGGATTTTTCTCTTCAACATCAATGTCACCCACAACATATTTCCCGAATCCTCCCTTAGTACTCTTTGCCTGTTTTAAAGTATTACTGATTCTATCAATTGACACTGGTTTGGATTCAACTGATTCAGTGTGTATGACGACATCACAACCAAGACTTCCCCTAAAGAACCTTAAAACGTCAGTAAATAAATATTCCTCCATGTCTTTGAACACTTGGTCGAATTGTTCTTTTATTTCTCTGCTTTTCTGCATAAATTCTCTGGCACTTGTTATGTATTCATTTCTAAACGTTTCTGATGTTATTTTAATAGTGACAGAAAACTGTTGTACCTTTAGCTTTGTCGGTGAGGGTGTTAGTCTGGTAGAGACCTGAGTGCTGTACTGAATTTTCGTGTCTGCAAACAAAGTTATGCCGCTTGGTTTTATCTCTGCAATTGTTTCGGAGATTTGAACATTTCTAATGGAATTGGTCGAGCCACTTGCGTGGATTGCGTAATTTGCTTCAGGTTTTTTGACCATTGTTATTGAAGGCGACATTTGAAGTTCTTCCGTGCGGTTGGTAATTGTGTTGTAGAATGATGTCGTAGAATTGTCGGCAATGTGCGCTTGGTTGCTGGAAATTTTGCTAAATTGACTCAATATAGAGATGTGGCTTGCCATCTTTGTGCGGTTTGCAATAGCAGTGATGCCATGCCGAACCATTGTATCATTTCTTGTCGAGTTAGTTCTACCTTTAGACATTTTCCTGCGGGACAATTCAGTCATGTCAACGATTGGTGATGAAAATATACTGCGTTGATCAGATGAACTAGGTTCCAAAACTGAGGTCTTGTTCGCTTGCTTTTCTTTAAACGATGAAATTCCTGTCGTTGAATTAGCTTTCATGTGTGCTTTCTCAGTCCAGGTGGCACTACTGATAAATTGGGTCTTTCCTGAATTTGGAGGCATTTTAACCGTGGTAGAGTCCAATGATGATTGTCTAGACTTCACAGGAGTCGTAGTAAGCATCTTTGTTTTGGACTTTTCCCAAGGCATAGGGTCTGTCATATTTGTGTTTTCAGTGACTGAGGTATTTGTTTTACCATCCACGCCCAACGTAGCTGAAGATTGTTCATGGTTTAAAGATACTAAGGTGATTGAATGAACAGATGTTGTAGATTTATGTTTACCATTCTTATTTCTCTCCTTGGCCGGAATTATGGTAGCACTTGAAGCTTGTACATCCATAATTGAATTTGGTGTGTTACTGAAACTATTCAACGCTGCCTTCTGATGCCAGGATGCCACCAGTTTGGCATTTGATGACATACTGTTTAGTATTTCTGATGATGGAAGTGAAACGTTTAAACGAGGTTTAATTGTAACAGTCGATAAAACGATAGTTGGGGTTGTTGTTTGTTCTGCTTCAGCGTTAACAGTGTTTCGATGGAGGATCGTTATAAATGTCAACAGGAGTCCATGCGTGATAGCTAGTCCTAGCCACATATTGAAAAAGAATTTGAATGATACTGTCAATGATCAAAATCTGCAAAGAAAACGAAAATATTAATGTTTAAAAACTTTTCGTTTAATTTACTTGAAGAGTTTCATAAAATTTAGATAATTAAGAATGTTAGAGCTGGAAAGAGTTATTTGTCTGTTTGTATGTAAACTTGCACCTGAAACCTAATTATTTAGATGAAGAATGACTCAAATACACGGGGGAAACCAGGTACCGGTATCTTCACACAAGTATTAGTCTTAAAGGTGTCTAATAAGGCCAACATGTAATATTTGTTAGTTAACAAATTATGGTGTCATATATGATCCAACTGGGCGAAAAGCAGCAAAAATATACATGTAAAAAATAAAACAAACGAGGATTATTGTCATTAACAAATTACTGTATATACTGTATATAGTTGGTGTCAAATTTTTCTGTTTGCCGATTGGTCAAAACCGTTCCAGAAAATATCATGTTCACTGCATGCTTTTCGCGAGGAGGCAACCGGTCAACAATTAAAATGAAAACATTTATTGACCGGTCAGCAGTAGAATGGGTGCAATGCGCATGCGTGTCAAAGTTCCAAAGTTCATTTTTTAAACTCTTTATTAAACATTTACAGCTTTCCATTTATCCAGTTTTTGTTGTAAACTTGCCACTGCCCACCCCCAGTGGCGGAAATCTTGGTGGGGCAGGGGGGGACGACCGCCCCCACCTTCACGGAAAATTGACGAATTTTCGGAAATTTTGACCCAAAAGTGGACTAAAAACAGTCTTTTCGAGTGCAAATGGGGGGGGGGGTTATGTCGGAAATTTGAAAGTTTTGTCGAAATTTAGGAGGCTTTGCCCCCCCCCCCCGATAAAATGAAATTCCGCCACTGCCCACCCCTATGGAATTAATTAACTTTTTCCTATGTTTAACTCTATCTATCCCCACTCC